TTATCAGACTACTAAAATGAATTAATCCTACTTAACTGTTTTTATTGATAAATTAAAAAAAAAACATTTTGTTGTTGTTGTTGTTGTTTACTCCATTTTAGTGGTTACCATTTGATTATTTACTTATTCATTTATATCGTACAAAACTACATTGAACATTGAAACAAGATTCATTATGGACAAGGAAAAGGAAGAAGAAAAAGAAGAAAAAGGAGAGAAAAAAAGCTAAAACACAATACACCATTTATCAATATTCCAGGTGTTGATTTTTTAAAAAAAAAAATAAAGAAAACCTTTTTTCTCTTTTTTTGTTGTTGTTATTGTTCTTTTTTACGTGCGTGTGTGTGTGTGCGTCTATGTGTCCACGTTTGTTTGTTTATTTATTTTTCTTATTCTTTTCTTGATTGTTACTGTTATTATTATTATTATTATTATCATCTTTATCAATATAACAGAGTTGTTGTCATGCTCTTTTTCTTTTCTTTTTAAATTTTTTCTTTATTGTATTTAAGAAAAAAAAATACATAAACAAACCAAGAGAGAGAGAGAGGGGGGTGGTGCAAGTGAGGGGGGAGAGAGTGGGAGAGATCAATAATTCTTTATTCAAGAAAAAAACAAAATAAAATAAACTAGACATTAAAAAGTTCAAATCATAGAAGATAAAGTCTAGAAAAAAAAAGAAAAAAAGGAATAATGGTTTCTATTTAAGGTTAATGATTCCATTTGTATATTGTCTACTGAACTAGGTAAATAAGTATGTAAGTGAGTAAGGAAGGGAGGGAGGGAGGGAGGGAGGAAGGATGGAAGGAAGGAAGGAATCAAGGAGGTAAGGAAATAATTAAACTAGTTGCTTAATGAATGAATTGAAATGAGGAGTTAATAAGAATAATAACAATAATTGTTGATCATCTTTATTCATATTGATCTATTTCAATTTGTGTGAAGAACAGATACTTCGGATCCGTTGTTGATTATTCAATAGAATAGGATATACAATGAAGAAAGCATCCAACTGCGTCACAAAGCAAGCTCTTACTTGGAATCCTCAAGATCAACAAGGAAGAGGAAGACCAATGAACACATTACGTCGAGAAATTGAGATAGACATTATAAGAATAAACAACAATTGGATAAAACTAGAAAGGAAGACTCAGGACAGAATGGGTTGGAGAATGCTGGTCAGCGGCCTATGCTCCACTGGGATTAGCAGGCGTAAGTAAGTAAGTAACCAATTTAATGTTAGCAGTTCATGAATAGAGATTTAAATAATGTACATTCTTTTCGCTACATATTGCCATCAACTACTATATCTCTGATTAGGTTTTTTGTAAGTTGTACAATGAAACGTACCTGAATAGTTTGTGTAATTCATTGATATAATGAACTATTGAAACAAACAAGGAAACAAATAACTAGTTGATATATCTACATGGCAAGGTACAGGTTGTTCAGTTACTCAAACAGGCTGTAATAATAGGATGAAACAACTGTAGTTTAGTCAAGGTCAATCAAGGTCGACACTAAAAGGACTAGACAAATCAATCTGTGATAAATTAATACAAAAATTCACTCTTACATGGTATATATTAGTGATGATAGTATTAAAAATAGAAATAAAGATTAATCTTTCAGAGACCTAAATTATCTTCCGGACTGTAAATGAAGAAGGTTAGGAGTTTGAGTCCCATGTATGTGACCGTATATGCGTATTGCTGAAGAATTCCATTTTGGTTTAACATTGATCGGTTCATGATCTGAAATAATGCATGGAGAAAAAACATATTGGTCTATTTTTTAAAATAGTTGAATTCATGAGTCAATTAAAGCTAAACCGCCATGGGAAACCTGGAAGTATTGGACGATCGTTTCGTCCTAGTCTGGGACTCATCAGCAGTGCACATTAACGACTCCATCCACGAGATTCCAACTCATGACCAATCGGTCTCGCGCGCGATCGCTTAAGCTATAAACCACTGAGCTCACATCCAACAACGTTAATGTCTAACGTAAACAAATCTAAGAAATCGCACCACCGTCCACCATTTTCTTCCGTGAGTTACTATATCACAACAGATCTGACTAAACTCCAGTGGTCACAGCTTCTCAGTAGAACTACAGGAAATACATTTTGGAGACCATCATTAGTGAATATATGTTGAGTAATATTAGAAGGGGTTTATGTGGATATTATAGTAATTTAATAGTTAAACTCATGCATTAATACACATGCACCATGTGTTACTATAGACTAAACAAAATACAAACAAACATATAAACATAAACAAATGTTTGTGTGTTTATTCGTCTGGCTTCAGTTGTTAGTGTACTGATCAATGTCTGTTCTGGTTTTTTTTAAATGCTCGGTTAGTTATTTTAGCGGCGGGGGGGGGGGAATCTAAATTGAAAATAAGTCAGTGATATTTTTATGAGCTATGCAAAGAAAGAAGTTAAGTTATCAGAATAGTATTCAAGGCACGGTTTTCTTCACTTAGTAACTAATGCTCATCATTGCAATGATAATTATTATGTAGTAGTAAATAAATCCTTAAAAATAGTTTTGTTTGTCTTTGACATTTGATACTGACCATATTAGTTTTAATGGACTCACGCATCTGCACCAGATCACGAGTGAGTACGCCGTGCTATGTATCTTTTACGATCGTTAACTAGCTTAGATTAAACGCTTCCCTATATATACGTATCGATAATCTGTAAATTATATCTTCGAATATCTTCGTTTCTGACTTCTGATTTCACTGGGTTGACATCCTTCAATCAATAAGGTGTTATGTGTAAAGACGTTGTCAAACTTCGAATACCTGTAGTATCTTTAATCACAATATAGTAGACATTAGGGAAATAAGCAAGAATGACTTGGAATTAAGATAGTAACTCACCGATAGCACAAAATAACTATGGTTCGATATATATACAGAGAGTGAGAGAGAGAAAGTCCTCCTGGAGTCCCTCTGGGGCTACTGCCTATCCAGAGCCCGGATAAAGGAGTAGGATTGGGTATGGGGTTAGTGACCCCATTCCGTGGAAAACTAACTCGCTTAAAAAACTCTAACCAGAAAAAAAAATAATTCAAACCATATAACCTCTACCCTGGGATCTAGAAGTTCTTCATTTAGAAGAGTTATGATGCCTCATGGTGAAAACTGAGTTCCTTCAAAAGTTACGAAGCTGATATCCCTTCTGGCAACCACAGCAACCATTAATTTAAGTACATGGAATGCTCGTACAATATGAAAGACCTGAAGAATCATCTAAATTATTTCAGTAATGAGAAGTTGAAACCTAGAGTTACTTGGAATCAGTGAAACACATTGAACGCAGGTTGGAAAACAAAGATTAGCTTCAGGGAAGCTGCTGTTAAACAGTATATGGTTCGATTCAATGATTGATTACAACAGTGTTTACCATGAGTGATAAAATTATATGTACTCATTCATTTGTCGGTAATATCGGGTGAAAATTCTTGGCATCTTGATAAGAATCTATAACTAATACAGTTGTTATATTGGATATGAGACAGTTACCCAATAATAATGAATGGGAAGATAGTTATTGCATATTCCAAATTAATTGAAGTTATAGATGTAAACAATTGTATGACGTCTTAGTGTTCCAAAAACTTGGTAATCACATAGACGCCTGAAGGTTCAAAGTACAATTCCTATACTAGGGTGAGTTAGTTGGTCACAATTGATTGATCACTGGGTGGTGATCAGTATTATGTGTGTCAAGTCCTTCTTAGTGCAGATTGAATGCTATCAACCAAGTTGCAATGTGGTCACTAGTCTAGAAGACTCAACACTGTGTGCACTATGATGAGATAAGATGATGGTTAAAGGTAGTCAACAGGAAACTCTGGACCCGAGTTTCGTGCTATTTGGCACTCGTCAGCAAAGTGCACTTGTAATCTTGAGGGAACTGGTGCTCTCTTACGGATTCGGTCCGGTGTTATCCAGCTTCACAGTCAGAGACGTGACCACTGAGCTATCTGGGCTGCGACCGACCTCCTGTAAGACTGAGATGCATCCACAATTGATTGATCACCATCTGGTGATCAATTTCATTTGTGTCAAGTCCTTCTTTAGTGCAACAAGGGTGAATTAGTTTGTCAGGGTTTTATAGTTTTTAATAATTAATCAATTAATGACGATTCTTAGTATAAAAGTTTTTAGCATTAAATAAATTCCCAAAATCAATAGCTGTGTAAGTCTTCGATATTTGATGACGGACATATTAGGTTTTAATAGACTCACATAGCTGAATGCGCTCAGTCACGCATCCGCACCAGATCACGAGAGGGAACGCTGTGTTCAACTTCTCCTACAACCGCTAGGCAGTTCAGATCATTCACTTCACGTTATATCGATAACGTATCAAATATATCTTTGAACCTCCTCTCTGCTGACTTCTGATTTCATTGAGTTGTCACGTTTCGATTATAGAAGTTGTTACTGATTGAGGCGTTGTTAAACTCCAAATACTAGTGACATCTTCATGCTTAAAATTTTGCGAATATCCACGTTTACGCATGCACACAGTATACAAGAATATAGATTTCTCTTGCTCTGTAATTCCCGAGATTTTTGGCTTCTTCCAAACGTGTTATTATTGCTGTATTTCAGAAGACAAACAAAAATGAAACCAATGAGTTTTTTTCCTGAGAAAATCAAAATGATTAAGTAACTGTCCACCAATCATCACAACCACCAACCTCTACTATATCAACAATAAAACAACCAGATTATAATTTAAAATACACGTAATTATATAAGAAAAAAGAAACAAATTAGATGCTGTAATTAACACTGAATGATTGTTGCTATGGCATAATCGTCAAGTCAGAATTCATGTTATCTAAATGATTCTTGATAGAACTAATTACGCTACTCTCTGTTTCTCACACCTTCGCTTGCCGAAGAAGTTGTTGAGTTATGATTAAATTGTTAGTGTCTTGAAAAGTCAATATGTAACCATTCTATGTATTACTCAACACGATGTTCTTTTGATGATGATGATGATGATGATGATGATGATGATGATGATGATGATGATGATGATGATGATGATGATGATGATGATGATGATGATGATGATGATGATGATGATGATGATGATGATGATGATGATGATGATGATGATGATGATGATGATGATGATGATGATGATGATGATGATGATGATGATGATGATGATGATGATGATGATGATGATGATGATGATGATGATGATGATGATGATGATGATGATGATGATGATGATGATGATGATGATGATGATGATGATGATGATGATGATGATGATGATGATGATGATGATGATGATGATGATGATGATGATGATGATGATGATGATGATGATGATGATGATGATGATGATGATGATGATGATGATGATGATGATGATGATGATGATGATGATGATGATGATGATGATGATGATGATGATGATGATGATGATGATGATGATGATGATGATGATGATGATGATGATGATGATGATGATGATGATGATGATGATGATGATGATGATGATGATGATGATGATGATGATGATGATGATGATGATGATGATGATGATGATGATGATGATGATGATGATGATGATGATGATGATGATGATGATGATGATGATGATGATGATGATGATGATGATGATGATGATGATGATGATGATGATGATGATGATGATGATGATGATGATGATGATGATGATGATGATGATGATGATGATGATGATGATGATGATGATGATGATGATGATGATGATGATGATGATGATGATGATGATGATGATGATGATGATGATGATGATGATGATGATGATGATGATGATGATGATGATGATGATGATGATGATATATTTATGTAGTTCATTAGAGATTTGTGAGATATTTGGTGATAGATTTCTACAATATAGTGGACAACTTAAGTTGATAGTTGTTTGTAAGTGATTAGAGACTGAACAATTTTTTCATTCCATCTGAATGAACCGAATGAAAAAACGTAATTCGAAGTCACTTTACTTTAGCTACTTTTGTGTTGGATGATTCAAATTAGATAAGGAATATTGTTAAGTATCTTGTGTCTATCAACTTATTTATCGTATGAGTATATTCATAGTAACTCCGCCTGGAGTCCCTCTGGGGGCTACTACCGGTCCCAAGACCGGATAAAGGAGGAGGGTTGGGCATGGGGTTAGCGTCCCCATCCCGTAGAAAACTAACTAGCTAAAAAAACGCTAACCAGAAAAAATTATTCAAACCTTTTAAACTCTGCCCTGGCAGTCAGAAGGTCTTCATTTAGAAGAATTATGACGCCTCATGATAAAAGCCGAATCCCTTCGGAAGTTACGAGGCCGATGCCCCTTCTGACAACCAGAGCGACCATTTATTTAGGTACATGGAATGTTCGTACAATGTGGGACACCGGAAGAGCCTTCCAAATTGCTGCAGAAATGAGAAGATACAACCTAGAGGTACTTGGGATCAGTGAAACACATTGGACACAAGTTGGACAACAACGACTAACTACAGGAGAGCTCCTGTTATACTCCGGTCATGAAGAAGAAAATGCACCACATACACAAGGAGTTGCATTGATGCTGTCCAAACAAGCACAAAATGCACTTATAGGATGGGAATCTCATGGACCAAGGATCATCAAAGCCTCGTTCGAAACAAAGAAAGAGGGTATTTCAATGAACATCATCCAATGCTATGCGCCTACCAACGACTACAATGAAGACGCTAAAGATCAATTCTACAATAGGCTGCAGTCAATCGTCGAGAAGTGCCCAACAAAGGACCTGATCATTCTGATGGGAGATTTCAACGCCAAGGTTGGAACGGACAACACTGGATATGAAGACATCATGGGACGACACGGACTGGGAGAAAGAAACGAAAACGGTGAGAGATTTGCAAATCTATGTGCCTTCAATAAGCTGGTCATAGGCGGCACCATATTCCCACATAAACGCATACACAAAACCGCATGGACTTCACCGGATCACTCTACACAAAACCAATTCGACCATATTTGCATCAACAAAACGTTCAGGAGGACTATAGAGGACGTGAGAACCAAGAGAGGAGCTGATATAGCATCAGATCATCACTTGCTGGTCGCCAAGATGAAATTGAAACTCAAGAAACACTGGACAACGGGGCGGACAATATCACAAAAGTTCAATACGTCCTTTCTTCAGGATACTAACAAACTCAACAAATTCAAGATAGTCCTCAGCAACAAGTTCCAGGCCTTTCATGATCTACTCAATGGAGAAGGAACTACTGTGGAGAGCAACTGGAAGGGGATCAAAGAGGCAATCACTTCAACATGTCATGAGGTCCTGGGTCACAAGAAGCACCACCACAAGGAATGGATCACTGTTGGTACACTGGATAAGATTCAAGAAAGGAGGAACAAGAAGGCAGCGATCAATACCAGCCGAACAAGAGCAGAAAAAGCCAAGGCACAAGCTGAATACACAGAAGTAAACAAACAGGTGAAGAGGAGCATCAGAACCGACAAACGTAAATATGTGGAAGATTTAGCAACGGCGGCGGAAAAGGCTGTAAGAGAAGGAAACATGAGACAATTTTATGACACGACAAAGAAACTCTCTGGAAATCGCGGCAAACCAGAACGACCAGTGAAAAGCAAGGAAGGCGAGGTAATCACCAACATTGAAGAGCAACAAAACAGGTGGGTAGAACACTTCAAAGAACTCTTGAATCGACCAGCTCCACTGAACCCACCCAACATCGAAGCAGCACCCACGGACCTCCCAATCAATGTTGGCCCACCAACAATTGAAGAAATCAGCATGGCCATCAGACAAATCAAGAGTGGCAAAGCAGCAGGACCGGACAACATCCCAGCAGAGGCACTAAAAGCAGACGTAGCGGCAACTGCACAGATACTCCACATTCTCTTCAATAAGATTTGGGATGAGGAACAAGTACCAACAGACTGGAAAGAAGGACTTCTGATCAAAATACCGAAGAAAGACGATCTCAGCAAGTGTGATAACTACAGGGGCATCACTCTTCTCTCAATACCGGGAAAAGTCTTCAACAGGGTATTGTTAAACAGGATGAAGGACTGCGTAGACGCCCAGCTTCGTGACCAACAGGCAGGATTCCGTAAGGATAGATCGTGCACAGACCAAATCGCAACTCTACGGATCATTGTGGAACAATCAATTGAATGGAATTCATCACTCTACATCAACTTCATTGACTACGAAAAGGCAGTTGATAGCGTGGACAGAACAACACTATGGAAACTTCTTCGACACTACGGCGTGCCTCAGAAGATAGTCACTATCATACAGAATTCATATGATGGATTACACTGCAAAATCGTGCATGGAGGACAGTTGACAAAGTCGTTCGAAGTGAAGACCGGTGTTAGGCAAGGTTGCCTACTCTCACCCTTTCTCTTTCTCCTGGTGATCGACTGGATCATGAAGACGTCAACGTCTGAAGGAGAGTGCGGGATACAATGGACATCTAGGATGCAGTTGGATGATCTAGACTTCGCAGACGATCTGGCCCTTCTATCCCAAACGCAACAACAGATGCAGGAGAAGACAAACAGTGTGGCAGCAGCCTCAGCAGCAATAGGTCTCAATATACACAAAGGGAAAAGCAGGATTCTCCGATACAACACAGAATGCACCAATCCAATCACAATTGACGGAGAAGATTTGGAAGATGTAAAAACCTTTACGTATTTGGGCAGCATCATTGATGAACAGGGTGGATCTGATGCAGATGTGAAGGCACGGATCGGCAAAGCAAGAGCAGCATATTTACAACTGAGGAACATCTGGAACTCAAAGCAACTGTCGACCAACACCAAGGTCAGGATTTTCAATACAAATGTCAAGACAATTCTACTGTATGGGGCGGAAACCTGGAGAACTACGAAAGCCATCATCCAGAAAATACATGTGTTTATTAACAATTGTCTACGCAAAATACTTCAGATCCATTGGCCGGACACTATTAGCAACAGCCTACTGTGGGCGAGAACAAACCAGATCCCAGTGGAGGAAGAAATCAGGAAGAAGCGCTGGAAGTGGATAGGACACACATTGAGGAAAGCACCCAACTGCGTCACAAGACAAGCCCTCACATGGAATCCTGAAGGTCAAAGGAAAAGAGGAAGACCAAAGAACACATTACGCCGAGAAATGGAGATAGACATGAGAAAAATGAACAAGAATTGGATGGAACTAGAAAAGAAGGCCCAGGACAGAGTGGTTTGGAGAATGCTGGTCAGCGGCCTATGCTCCATTGGGGGTAACAGGCGTAAGTAAGTAAGTAAGTATATTCATAGTAATCAAATGTTCGTTATCATTCTTTTTTTTGTTACTTACATTCGCGAGGTGTGTGTATGTCTTTCAGCGAGAAAAAGATCAACACTTATTAAGTCTTCACGTTACTATTAATCAATAAACGTACTTACTGAACTATGATCCTCATGACATAACAACCATCGATTGTTAATCGATATGAGTACAAACCAGCTTCCAGCTGAAGAAGAAATTAGGAAAAGACGATGGAAATGGATAGGACATACGTTACGCAACTCATCAAACTGCATAACGAGGCAAGCCCTAACTTGGAATCCTGAAGGGACGTGGAAAAGAGGGAGAACAAAGAATTCCTTACGTCGGATATTAGAGGTAGATATGAAAAGAATGAATAACAAGTGGAAGGAGCTGGAAAGGATCGCCCAGGACAGGGTTGGATGGAGAATGCTGGTGAGCGGCCTATGCTCCTTCACGAGGAGTAACAGGCGTAAGTAAGTAAGTTTTGATCCTAAACCTTCTGCATCGTATTTACTTCATGCGACTTATTATTATGATTAGTATCGCTGACAAACATTTCTTATGAAGTTAACCATAGAAGTAGTCGGTTAAGTTAGAAATGGCTTGGTTGTATCTGAATAAAATTAATTAGGAATCGCTTTATACAACAAAGTGAGGAGTAATATGCTATTCAGTACAGGATCTTGGGTTTTGAAGGAAAGACAGAATCACTATTTATCGCTTCCTAAGTTTTGAGGAATTCCGTAGATTATATCAAAGTTTGAAATGAAGAAACGAATATCTACACACAAATAATGATAGAAGTGACGAATTTTGACCTGTAATAGAATTGTTCTATTTAGAACTAGTCATTCGGATGTACTTGTATCCCATAGTTGATGTTCACTGCTGGATTCGAACCCAGTACCTCTTACTTTAAATGAGATAGCTTTATTCGCTTAGCTACTCACAGGATTTATATATCCTAACTACAAATTAAAACAAATAGGAAGAATGACTATATTATACAGATGGATATTTTAATATTGAATGTAAACTTTGTATGACTATAATGTCAAATTGATCTTGTCATTTATAACCAAACAGCATCGAACTACTTGACATGAAACTTTTCCATCTATTAGTAACTTATTTTAAGGTTTAAGTAAAGATAGACGGTTACTGGCAGTGGAAAGCATGACTCATGTTTTGTCCTATGTGGGACTCATCAGCTGGATACACAAGAATCTCAAAGTTGATGTTCTTTCTGGGACTCGAACCCGGTACCGTTCACTTTTAAGGTATGACATTTCACTATCTCTTCCTATAAATAAATATATCTTTCCTCTCAATCATGATCTTATTCTATCTTCTGAAATAAACTGTGAAAATATAATCAGAGGCCTATTCTGTAGTTATTCAAATCTTTCAATTAGAATTTGAAGATGTCCAGGTATTTGTAGATTGACAACACCTTAACTAGTAACAACTTCTATAATCAAAACGCCACAACCCAGTATAGTCGGAAGTCAGCAGAGAGGAGATTCGAAGA